CATACTTTCCGGGGTTCCTCCAGTCTCAGTCAGACCATTAAGTTTGGTCTTCTTACTAGAATTTGAGTTCTGCACCCCACCTTTCCCCTCCTCCATCCAGGACTCTCTGTTGTGTTCCCTGTCAGGGCGGTCATTGGTGGTAGCCAGGCACCATCTACTTCTTCCAGTCTTAGGCTGATAAGGTCTCTGGTTTATGTGGCCCAGGACTCCATAATCAACATCACAGCATTGAAGGTCAGCTTTCAGGGCCCTGAAGTTTACCCCATTATTCAATGACTCTAAAGTGCACTTTACCATGGAAAGAAACCGAAGCATCCTTGACCATATCAGAGGAGGGCAAATGCCTTTGCTGGCCCTTCATATGGAAGTTATTGTTGCCTTTTCGTGGACAGAAAATTACAGATTGATGGAGCTGCATTTTCATGGACATTTTGGTGTCAGAGCATTTAAACAAATGTATGCTTTGGGCATCTTCCCTCCCCACTCAGGAGATGATGTCTTAATTATTTTGACCAAAGCCAGACCATGTTGTGTGTTGTAAACATCTGGTTTATCATTCATCCAGCTGAACTAGTTTATATTTTGTTAGAAGAAAAGGCTTTGGATTAAAGGCATTTAAGTAATTAAGGACACACCAAGACAATTTGGTGATGGGTAAATATAGTCTCTGTTAAATGCACAGTCTGGGGCTCTGGTTTAGATTTGCATCTCGCTGGAGTGCAGGGATGAAAGCAGAATGCCGGGTGGACTAGGCCTTGTTCTGGGGGGAATCAAAACCAAATGGGTTTTCAGAAGTTCAGCACCATTCCTCTAAGTACCTGTCCTGTTGGATAAAAGTTTCCTTTGAGTGTGGCCTGGAGGGAATAGAGCTGTGGTCCTCGTCACCCAGCAGCACTTGCAGGTTTAATGAGACTCTTTGGGAGGCAGACCATAAACTCCTGTGCGTTAGTTGTTCCTTTGTGTCCAGAAAACCAGAGCTGTCTCTGAAGCTAAATGCTAGGCTTCTGGTTTTGTATTTTGAGTGTGTGTTTTCAGGTATCAGTCCTGGGGTTTGTGCCCACCTAGATCATGTTTCTTTGCCCTGATCCCTATGGATGCAGAGGGACAGCTAAGCCTGTTGCAAGGCCTGGCTGGATCAAATGAGGAAGGGGCTTTTTCCCTTTGGCACTGTAGTTCTAAGTAGCAAGTATGAATTACCTGGTGATTTGGAGGAGAGAAAGCCATGGAGAGGTTGGGGATCAGTGAGGGGGTCCTCAGGGCGTTATACTCTGAGCTGAGGCACTGCCTCGTGTTAGGGGTACAGGAAAGGAGGATGTCCTCTGGGTTTCTCCTTCTCTCTGCCCCTCTTTTGGGAGCATAAGGACAAACAATTGCGTCTCTCTTTCTCTCTCCTCGGATCTATAGCAGAGAGGAAAGTAGATAGATGTGATCATGGAGAAGAAAGCTTTGCCATTATGGCCAGATGGATCATGCATTATGGAACCAATTAACCCATTTTTGCTGAAAAGAAAGGAAAAGATTCAGAATTTCAATTTTCAAAGAGGGGACTCTTTTTAAAAAAATGTTTAATTCTTCTTCTTTCAAACTGATTTCCATGCTTGTTTGGGGTAGAATCTAGGTTTCTGAAGTCTGTGGGTGAAACAAGAGGCCAAAGCAATCCTCATTCTTGGGTGAAATGGTTGGTAAATAGTTACTTTTCCACTTGCTGCCCCTGTCCCCATTCCTCCTTCTTTCATGTAGGAGTCCCTTGGTGGTACAAATGGTTAACATGCTCGGCTGCTAACTGAAAGTTTGGTGGTTCACATCCACTGAGAGGTGCCTAGGAAGAAAGGCCTGGTGATCTACTTCTGAAAAATCAGCCATTGAAAACCCTATGGAGCACAGTTATATTCTGAGACACATGGGGTCACTATGAGTTGGAGTTGTTATGATGGCAACTGACTTGGTCCCCTACCCCAGCGGCCACTGATGGGAACTGCCCATATGGTACCACCTGAAAATAAGGAAGTACATAGCCATGAGCGACAGAGAAACATTGAGTTGAAGCGTTTGGGAACTCTGGTTATCATATGAGTATGGCAACTTGGGTTTGACAACCTCAATCATACTGCTTCCAAGGCAGAGAACCATTTGTCTGGGCTTCCTCGATTAGGAAGTAGACTAATCAACAAATGTTTAAATTTTCCACCTCTGCATTAGCAAGCATAAGATGTCAAAGAAAATTGGAGAAGTGGGGAAGGTGGGTGCCTGGGATAAAGTAGAAGAGATACTCAGATAACTTTAGCCAGAGGACTGGTTTACTGTTAAAGACCGTCATCCCTCACTGTATTCCCGGCATTGAGCTAGGTTCTATGAGGGTCACAAGTGAAAGAGAAGTGTTCTCTGACCTCAGGTACCTTGAAGGATTTGGGGGGATGCAAAACAATGGGCAAAATGACACCCTAGAAGTGAAGTGAGCCACCCTGTTAGACCATGCAGAGCAAAGGAAGCTTTATTTGAGACAGGGGTAGTATGTGTGGCTGTGGACCCTCAATGATTTGAGATCTTTTTGAGGATCTGGCAGCAGGACCCAGGAGTTCAGATTGTCAGACTAGTACTCAGTAAGCACAGCAAGGTGGCTACTGTGCTGAGCAAAGCTGAGAATTAGTAGAAGAGTAAGCAGGTAAAACACCTGTACAGCTTTCTCTATGCGGTTTCAGGGCTGTCTTCAGGTTTGCTGCTGTGGCAACCATGGGGTGTGAGTGCACGGGCTGGGTGGGGTAGTTCGCTAGGTGTGGTCTAGTGGGGGCCCTGCCCGCCTGTGATGCTTCAGCCTCTGTCCATGTCGACAGCCCTTTTGTAGCTTTGAACTATGTTCCTCCGCTCCACTGCCCCCTCCCGATGTGGGACTCCTCCCCTTGATTATGGTAGGGTGGCTTCACATTGCTGTGGTTATAGCTCCTGAACTGATTAATGATGCTCAGAGTGAAATTGTAATCTTGTGAGTAAGACAAATCTGCAGCTCAGTGAGCTGCTGGGGCAGCCCTCCCCCGACTCGCACTCCCTTTATTCACTCTTTGCTCCTCCCACGCCCCCCAAAGTTATTTCTGATGTTTTATGTTCAAGCTGAGGAGGAAACTTCAAATCAGGAAAGGACTGGCCCCTTGGTGACTTGGCAGCACCAAAATGCTCAGCTTTCAATTCACTGGGAGAGCGGCCACTCCGGCACCCTTCCTAGGGCTCCACTCCCACATGGGGTCCTGGTGCTCGTGCTGGCATCCTACATCCTGGAGCCATGATGAGGCAGGCGAGCCTTGAGGAAAAGGAGGCTGATGGAGAAGAGAGGGTTGTCTGAGAGGCTCTGTGGTCTCTGAGCATGTGGGTGGGGCACTGGATGGGAGCAGGAGGTGGAAAAACCATGAATTTTAATAAGTAAATGTTGTCAAGATTTGTTATCCAATCTTTTTGTTATCCACACCAGTGCAAAAGCAGATTACTTAGCATTTGGGCATCATGTGGGTTTCCCTCCAAAACCAATTATCTCCTCATCTCACTACTGTCTACAGTCTCTCTGGGAAGAATGGTTCAGGGCAGACAGTGTGTGCCAGACAAGGGAAATCACTGTGCCCCAGAAACTTCCCCCTCCTCCCTCTCCATGATTAAATGTGGATCCTCTCAAGGAAGCATCCTTGGTACTGGGAGTTGCAGCGATATAATCCCTCTCATCTGGAAGCCGGCAACTCAGAACAGACTAGCCTGACTCGGACAGAATATACAGACCACTTTATAGTCTCTGAATAAAACCATGAATGAAACAAGTAAATAACAAGGACTTTATGGTATGCAGAAGGTTCTCTGTTGTGAGTATATTGGAGTTATAGGGACAGGGCCATTTGTTCAGTTAACATCTGTTTAGTAGGGTCTGCTATGTGCAATTTAGTCATCTATCTGTGAGAGGGATTAAAAAATGAATCCCCTACTGTGTGGTTTTCAAACTTTTGGTTTTAGGACCTCTTTAAACTCCTAAAAATTATTGAGCACACGTAAAGGGCCTTTGTGTAGGCAGGTTACAGCTATTGATACTTATTACATTAGAGAATAAAACTGAGCAAAATGCTAAAGCACAAATACAGCAGAATGATGATATCATCACATACACGTCAAGTGTTCTTGTCATTGTGTTGTTGGGTGCCATCAAGTTGATTTTTGACCCATAGTGACCCCATGTAACACAGTAGAACTTCCCCATAGGGTTTCCTAGGCTGTAATCTTTATGGGAACAGATCGCCAGGTCTTTCTCCCTCGGAGCCACCAACTTTTTGGTTAGCAGCTGAGTGCTTAACTGTCACGCCACCGTGTAGCCTCTGGCAAATTCCACTGTACGCTTGTTAGAGAATAAGAGTGAAAAAGCAAATAATGTTTTAGTATGATTATAAAAATAGTACTGACCTCACAGAATCCCTGAAAGGGGCTTGGGGACTCTCCGGGCTCCCCAGACCACACTGTGAAAACTGCTGCCCTACTGCCCTACCTCAGATATTTTATGGTCGAGGTTGGCAGATAAGTCAAAGACACTAAGTAGGCACTGCCCTGTGAAGGATCAGGAAAGTGCCAGAAAGGAGTTCAGATAAAGTTCTGTGGGATACTCTGACACATGCTTTTATTGATTGTCATTACAGTAACCCATAAACATTCTCCCCTGCTGGCTGTGGCCATGGTGATGGTGGTGCTGCTGCTGGAGGGTCACTAGACTGGAGCTCTCTGAATCTTTGAGGACAGGAGGAATGTGAACTTTGAGAGAGCATATTTGACTTTGAAATATAACTTTGTGTTTGGGAAATGAAAAAGTATTTTTTTTTTAATAAGAACTGAGGCTTGACCAAAGTTTCTAGGCTGGGAGGACATAGAGGAGAACCCAGTGATTCTCACCTGAGGGGTGAGTGGGATATTTATCAAAACAAGGGTTAAGTTGAGAAGTCCCTGGCCTACAATTACTATTTCCATCTTCCTTTTTTCTGTAGGTATTAACTCTCTGATCGCGAACCATATCTATGAGGCTGCCTACCCTCTTCATGATGTAAGTACCTTTTTAATCTATGTGCTCCCTGTATTCTTCACAAAGTTGAAAATCATGGGCAGCACAGTGGGTGAATATATGCAAGGCAAGCTAGAGTGACTCATGAACATTCAAATACCTTGGCCAATTCTGGACTAGTCATTGCTGACAATAATCCCTCGTCTGAGTTTTGCCAATCATCTCATATTCTGTCTCTCCAATTATTTCCCCAGATGGTGACATGAACTGGTTTTGGTTTGAGCTTTCCCTATACTCCCTGACTCTGTTTTGGGTGAAATTGTGAAAATGCAGATGCGCATGTAGATGATTAAAGGGAGGAGATGGTGGTGCAGATGGGTGGGTGGCGGTGGAAGGGAAGTCAAAGGCCTGGATAATACACAACCTCATTTCAGTCATTTCAGACCCATAAATGACTGGAAGAGATATTTTCTATATGATAATTTTGTGCTAATGTGAAATTCCTTGTCACTCTGCAGGCCAGAAGTCTTTTTTTTATTTTAACATTTTTGAAGAAAATTTCTCAAAATTCCTTATACAATTGTTTGATTACGTTAAAAAAAAAATGACAATAATTAAAGCTTTCCAACTGGAAGTAATGTTTTGAACACCCCGTAATATAATACAATGATCTTCTCCAAGGTGATTCATGAAGGACTTACCTGGTCCTTGAACTAAATGCCCTCATGTGTTCACAGTTGACCTGACTGGTCATGGCTAAGCATCTGTCACACAGTGATGCATATGAGGCTGCTAAGGTGGCAGCCCTGACTACCCCAGTGGGAATTTCCCAGATGGCAATCTTCTCCTCGCTGACCTCTTTGCTCTGGGAATGTATGATGTTAAGTTCTGCCCGTTATTGAAGGGTGAGTGTGATGCGAACCTTGGGGTGATTTTCGGATGAAGTGTTAGCCTGTTCTAGGCACAGGCTCTGCCATTGCATTTGCTGTGAGGAGGTCTGGGCTGATCTCTGAAGGATATGAAGGTGAGCATCTTTATCCACAGTCAACCTTGCAAGTACTGATGACCAAGAAAATGGAACACTGGCCCCCTTACCATGTCATGCTTTCCACCTTTGTTAAATGGGAATGAAAGAGAAGATGATGTTAGAGAATAAAAAAGAAAACTCTTTCTCATTTGGCATCCGTTTTTTGTAATTCCTTGGCTTTACCCAGCATCTCTTTCTCTCCTACAGGGCGAATATGACAGTCCAGGTGATGACATGAATGACAGAAAGGTAAGCCTGCCTTATATTGCACAGAGCAGAGGGAGACCAATTGTTTTAGGCACAGAAGACCAAGGGTGGATGTGGAACTGGGTAGAAGTATCCTTATTCTTCTATCTACCTGCTTATCTATTTCAGCAGTTCTTCACCCCCACTTCTCCCCCACCCCAAGGAGGCATTTGGAAATGTAAGAGGCATTTCCGATCATCACAATGACTATAGGTTTGGGGTTAGGGGAGTGTTGCTGGCATTTAGTGCCTGGGGTGGGGCAGCAATACTAAATGTCCTAAGATATATCCAGCAGTTCCACACAGAAGCATTATCCTAACCCCAGTTGACACGAGAGGCACAATTGAGAAACACTGATACCCAAACTCCTTATTTTATAACAGGAAACTGAGGCACAGAAAGATTGAGCACCTTGCCCAAGATCACACTGCCACAATAAACAGAGAAGGGACTTGGAATACCTCTGACCCTCAAACTCAGTGTTCCTGCTAAAAATTTATTATTATCCATGCCACTATGGCTTTTTTGAGTCATCTCTAAGTTATTCTTCTCACCCTCTGGGCAAGCAAATGGGGTATAGCCCAAATTATAGATGAGAACTCTGAGAGAGACGGGGGATTAGTCATGCTGCATATTCTGGGCAGCTATGAAGTAGATATTACATTTTAGTAGAGGGAGAAGGGTTCCTTTAGAAGGATCCCTCCAAAGACAGTCACAGCTCCTGTACAGCTCTGGTCCCAGCTGTCCACCTGGATCTAGTTCCTTCTGTTTGCTCATATACTGGTAACACGGGCGTACCCTCCTCACTGCCATGGCCTGGCACTCTAAGGGCCACCTCAACCTCTTTAGGAGGGGCTTCCCCATCTATCTGACTGTCATCCTCCTCATGCCATCCTCCTGCTCAGCTTCCCCAAACCTTTGGCAACTCTGATGAGCAGAGAAGGGTGGGCAAGGGTGGGAGGGATGAGGAATTGAAGCCCAAGACATTTCCCTCTCCCCCAATTCTTGTCTGGAAAATCGTTCATCCCCCAAGTTGCCTTTTGAGCAGCCTTCTTTTTATCCTGCCTATTAGTCCTTGCTATGAAGTGTTAAGTATTAAAAACATAAAAGGTCTTTTCCAGAAATACTGCTGTGATTGCTTACACATGTCCCCTCGTTGCCTGCCCAGGGAAACTGCTGTAGTAGTTCGATGTCTTAATCTCATCTGTTTTCTATATGATGCTAATAGTCTCGGTGTTTAATTTCCTGAAAAGTCCCTGATCAGATTTAAAGGAAAAGGAGGAAGCATTTCTGCCCACATCTCACCTCTCTCACCCCAAACATTTTCTGTCCACCTACTCTCGAGTTTCACAGTCCTCCCCTTTAAATGGTAATCATCATCCACTGCCCACCTAGGAAACCCCCTGCTGGGTGGTGGTGACCCCAGCCAGCCAAGGTAGAGCATTACAGGAACATTCCAGGGACCAGGAACTTATGGGAGAAATCAGTCAGCCCTCTGTGTTCTGCACTAATGGAAAGAGGCGAATTATAGACAATCCAAAATAGATATGTATTTGTCTTTAGAATGAAATATGATTATTATTAACAACAACAATACCTTTTACCAAAATATTTTCCTTCTAGAAAATGATTTGCTTAAGCCAGTGTAATCATGCCCTGAGCACACCACAGCTGGTAGAATGGGTTGAATCTGGGAGGCAGGGAGAGACCAGCTGGTAGATAATTCCTAAAGTCAGTGTCAGAAGGATGCACAGTGAAGATGAACAAGTGTCTTTGAAAGGCAGAGGCCCCCTTTCTTGTGACTTATCCTTGGGTTTGCTGGCCAGTTTTGGTGTCCTTTTTACTCTGCCAGGGTCATGGTTAAGGAAATAAGCTTTGTTGCCATGGGGAATAAGAGAAGCCATGAGTGAGAAGTGGAAGCTTTTTTCTGTCCATCTTGTTGGGAAACTGATGCCCTTCTAGGAGAGGAGACTGACTGGAATGTCCATAATCAATGGTCAAGTCAGGACTAAGAAAGACCCCCAAGTCAAAATCCCAGCCAATGCTCACAGCCATGTTGACATAGCTTCTTGTGAACAGCAGTAGGGATTCTCCTTAACAGTGCTGTATTCATTTATGTGGTTTTGGTAATGTATCGGTGGTGCCTAAAACATATCCTAAAGAAGAAAGAGTAAAATCTCTGAGTATGTGCAGCATATTGATTTGCTTTTATTACGTTATAATAATTTAGAGTTCTTAGAGATGACTGCAGGAAGAATTTTAGTTAGACACAAGGGAGAATTTTCTGCATTCAGAGTTGGAGGATGTAGAGAAGGATCATTGAGCAGTAGTGTGGGATTGCCTCCCAGGGGACCTTTAGGAATGGCTTGCAAGGGTCTCCCAAGCTAGTCACCCTTCCTCCATCACCTGGATGTTCTCCTTCACGCTTATGTAACATTTGTGGCTGTTCCCATGAGTTCTCTAAGGCCCAGGCTCATCTTAGGTGCATCCAAGGCAAGCCTGAAGGCCCTGGAGAATGGCAACCTTCCACTCCAGCTTGCCTAGCGAAGTTGTGCAACCTTGGTGACTCAGCCCCAGCTAGAGGCAGGAAGTCTCTCTCTCTCTCTCCCTTCCTGGAAGGCAATTAAGAAGAAGTTCCCTCCCTCAGGAAAACAGGGCTTTCCCGCCTTCCTTGAAGCTAGGGTTTCAGGAAGAGGGAGCAGCCTGGGTGTGGATGGGTCCCTCCTGGCTTCCAGCAGCCGCCTAGCTCCACATTTGCCAAACCTGCCTGGTTTCTCGAGGATCCCAGAGAAGTGAGCTGTCACCATCTTTTGTGGTCTGCCTGGGCACTGCTGGTTCCCGTGGTGTCCTCACCTGCTTACAGGGGAGAACACAAGGCACAACATTGCAATTTGATTTTATTCAGCATTGTTTAAACTCTTGGTCATGGATTTTCCAACTTTTGCAGGTGATTGCCTTCTTTTAAAAAACAACAAAAACAACAACAACAAAAAAATAAGCCCATTGCGGTCAAGTCAATTCTGACTCATAGCGACCCTATAGGACAGAGTAGAGCTGCCCCATAGGGTTTCCAAGGAATGGCTGGTGGATTTGAACTGCTGACCCTTTGGTTAGCAGCCGAGCTCTTAACCACTGCACCACTAGGGCTCCGACATTCTCTAGGGGATGGCTATCAAGTGACCCACTAAATGATGGAGTGCAAAGAGTCCTGGCATTTTAAAATCCTGCCTTTCTGACAAGAAAGGTACTTTTCTTCTTGGATCTACTTGGAGGATTAATTTTTCCACCTTCACAGCTCCCATTTTACTAGTGGAGAAGTTGAGACCTAGATAGTGCAAGTGACTTGCCAAAGGTTACAACAGGATCCAAGTCTTTCCAATCCAGGCCCACTTCCTGCCCCCAGGAGTGCCTCTGGGTTGGCTACAGCTGGCATCTTGCCACTTACCTCAGCTCCACCTGCTTTCTGAGGACCTTGTGACCTAAGAGAGGACCAGGAACCACACACACCTTGCTGTTTTGGACACTGGTCATTGCAAAGAGTTTTAACACTTGGCTTCCTTTATCAACTAATCCAGTGTCAAATGGGATTCCTAGGGAGTTGAACTTTCTGCTTGTATGCTCCAAGTTCATTAAATGGGGTGGTCCCTATGGGTTGTTGCTTCCTGCTGTAAAAATCTGGGGTAATACAGACATGTCTGGAATTATATACTCTGAAATAAGGGGCTGCCTATTAAGCAGGACCTGTAGACCCTCCCTGCTCTATGTTCAGGCTTGGCCAGTCAGTGAAGAGAGAACATGGTGTAGCTGTAAGGACAAAAGTGGATTTGATAAGAGCTGCATTAGAAGGTCCTAGATTCTGAGAGTTTAAAGGCACTGTTACAAGTTACCATGGCCATCCCCCTGCACTTTATTCACACCGTGTTCATTATCATGGGGCAGAGACTCCAGAGCAAGCCTCCCTTCACCTTGACTTCTAGTCTGTTCTAGGATCCTGGAACCTGGAGTTTAGCATAATCCGCTTGGTCTCTAGCCATGTGTGATTAAACTTTGTTGAGCTAGGAGAGGATCTATAGCACTCTTCACCTTCCTCACCGCCTCCCAGGGGCAAGTGATAGAAGCATGTGTGAGCTAGTCTGGGCAGAGGCAAGTGGGAATCCAGGCATAATTGCTGCATCACATTCTGGATTTGGTGGTCTGTGGCTCCAACTCTTTTTTGGGGGCTTTCTCATGATCCCCTCCTTTGTGTCCATGCAGGCCCTCTGTATCAAGCTCAAACAGCTGTCTTGTCTCCTCCTGTCTATACCTGCAAGCTGCAAAAAGGAGCAGGGATATTTTACTTTGTGCTGAGAGGGCACTACACTGAAAAAGGGACATTCTGGAGGTTTCTCACAGTAGTTCTGGGATCCAACCGGGGCTAAGGCTTATGATCTTGGATCTCAGTTTAGGCCTGAGCCAACTGGGCCTTCCTGGCTTTTTGGAGCTTTGTTAATTTTCCCCTTTAGGGTGGTGGCAGTATGTGTTCCCAGACCTCAGTTTTGGCTGAATGTGTGACTTGGAGGAATTTCCTCTGGATATCAGAGCCTAGGAGGTTGGCAGTGACGTCCTGCAGCCCTCGAGGGGGATCCAGTCTGTATCTCCTGAAACAAGCTGACCTCCCTTGGGGACACAAATGATGTCACTGTGACAACCAGGTGCTGGTGAGCCCAGGGTTTGTACTCAGGAGAGGGAAGCAAAACCCAGCGCAGTAGATGCACCCAAGATGGGGGCGGGGCGGGGGGCGCGGCGGTGGTGGTGGTGATGGAGGAGATAGAATAATAACAATAAGATCAGGTTAAGAGTCACCTATGGGAATGAGCAGCATCAAAACTCATGAACTCAGACTGTCCACTTCTCGTCATGTCCTGTGTGACCTCATTTTGTTTCTGGGTTTCCTCCTTCGCAAATGGTGGTAACTGTGGATGCAGTTTGCTCTGTTGGGATTTGTGTAGTTTCTAGTTTTATTTTCCAGTTGTTGGGAAATGCTATGACAACAAAAGTCTATATCCATTGAGTAGCAACACTAATTCTCATTTCAGTTAATATAATGTCTTTAAAGATTCTTATGCGAAAAGGATGATGTTCTTTAGGGCTGATGTTCAACTAAATACCTGGTCAGAATAGGTTCTCATTAACAGAATTCCTTGTGAATTCTGTGTGATGTATGAGGAGACGTGATGTGTGAGGAGAATAAAGACCACAACAAGACAGCAATGGTATTATAATAATCTGTCATTTATAGACATATGATTATGTGTCAATATCTATTCAGCATGGATAATTAGATCATGTCCAACTGATAGTTCATTATTCAATTACATTATTAACAAATGGATGATCTATGAATCTTGCTGGCTAAATGTTTGATAATGTCTTTGCTATCGAGTGCTGTTATCACAGAAATACCACAAGTGGATGGCTTTAACAAAGAGAAATTTATTCTCTCATAGTCTAGGAGGCTAGAAGTCCGAATTCAGGGTGTCAGCACTAGGGGAAGCCTTTCTCTGTCTGTCAGCTCTGGGGGGAGATCCTTGTCATCAATCTTCCCCAGCTGAGGAGCTTCTCAGCACAGGGACCCCGAGTCCAAAGCTTTTCTCCTGGCTCTTGTTTCTTGGTGGTATGAGGTCTGCCTGTCTCTGCTCGCTTCTCTCTTCTCTTTTATATATCAAAAGAGATTGACTCAATATACAATCTAATCTTGTAGATTGAGTTCTGCCTCATCAACATAACTGCCTGCAATCCTGCCTCATTAACATCATAGAGATAGGATTTACATCGCATAGGAGAATCACAACAGATGACAAAATGGTGAACAATCACATAATACTGGGAATCATGGCCTAACCAAGTTGACACACATTTTGGGGGACACAATTCAAACCATAACAGACACTAAAATATTGAGAGGGGTGATTTGCCCCTGGGATTGATATACAAATTGTGTCCATGGGCCAGTTTTGCCAAAGTTGCTATGAAAACACCACCAGATGGCATTGTGTTGTGTGTTTGATGCATTGTTTCTGCCCTTAAGCACTTGAATGTGCTACTCTCAGGTTATTTCCCCCACCCCTCCACTCTACCACTCTTGTCAAGGTCATTAGGGACCTTTAAGTCAGTGAATCCAATGGGCAGTTCTCAATTTTTGTCTGACCTGACCTATCTGCAGCATTTGGCACTGCTAGTCATTTTCTCCTCTTTGAAACCTGTTCTTCCCTTGGCTTCCAGGACATACACACTAATGGTTCTCTTCCACATCACTGGCTACTGCTTCTATCTCCTTTGCTGGTTCTTCATCATCTCCCAGATCTTTAAATGCTGGCATGATCCAAGGCCCAGATTTCAGAACTCTTCTCAATCTACTCTCTCTTCCTTGGCAATTGAATCCATAGGCTAAGGACTTTAAAAATCATCTCTTTTCTGATAATTTCCAAATTTTCATCTTCAGTCTGGACTCTTCTTCACACTCCAGACATTTATGTCCATCTGTTTATTCTTCATCTCCATGCGGATGCCTAAAGGGCATCTCAAATTAACACTTCCAGAACCGAATACTTGGGTCACCCCTCCTAGCCTCTTCTTCAGGCAGTCTTCCCTATTTTAGTAAATGAAATCACCATTAACTCAATCACTCAGGCAAAGTTCTCATTTTCTTTTACCCCACATTCAATCCAACAGTAAATCCTGTTGACCTGACGTTTAAAATATAAGCAGAACCAACCACTTCTCAATACTTCTCCCACTACCACCACGGCTCAAGCAACCATCATTTTTTTCCTGGACTGTTACAGTAGCTTCCTTGCTCTACCCTTGCTTTCAGTCTACTTGCCACATAGTAGTCAGAGTGAGCATTCTACTAGCTAAGTCAGATAGTTTCTCTCTTCTGCTGCAAACTTCTCAAAATGGCTTCCTTAAGAGCAAAGTCCAAAGTTCTTAGAATGGCCTACAAGTCCTGACTGATCTGGTCACCCTAGGATTCTCTGACATTAACTCCCATTAGTCCCCCCATACTCACTCTGCCCCAGCCACACTGCTACTACCCTGTTCTTCCTGAGACATACACTTACTTGCCTCAAGGCCTTTGCATGGGAGGAGTGCTCTTGTTCCTGGAATGCTCTTCTTCCTCCTCAGGGCTCACTCCTCAACTTCCTTCAGGTTTCAACTCAAATGTCCTGTCCTCCTTAAACTCTGAGGAGGTCCTCAGAGAGGCCTTCCCTGACAACTCTATCTAAACTTCATCCTCCACGCTCCTTACCTTAATTTATCTTAATTTATTTTGCTTCATGGTATTTATAAATATTATATATTTATTTGTTTAGTATTTGTTTCCCCATACCAAGGTGTAAGCTCTGTGACAGTAGTGACTTTGTTTTATTTTTTGCTGTGTCCAGAGTCTGGACAATGCCTGGCACATAATAGACGTTCAAGAAATGTTAAGTGAGTGAATCAATGAATGCCGGGACTCATTTTGCTGGACTAGGCAAAGCAAGGGAAGAAAGAAGGAGGGGTTATGCATATCAGGTGTAGGACTTCTCCGGAGTATGATAAAGATCACCTTTATTATTTGGGGAATAGTAAGCCAGTTTCTGTAGCCTACTGCCTTTGGACATCTTACCTGTGGGTATCTCATGAGCATTTTCCTAGAAGCTGGGCTTAGGGGATAAAATTTTGACTTGGTGGGACAGACCAAATAAGGTGAACAGTTGCCCCCCTCTACCCCTAATCTGTTTTCCTGTTTTTCTTGTTTAGCTGCTGTACCAAGAATGGGCACGTTATGGAGTGTTTTATAAGTTTCAACCTATTGACCTCATCAGGTAAGATGTGGAAGGGGACTCTTGGGAAGATGCAAATCCTGAAAGATCTATTATCAACTCTCTTGGCCTCTAGAAGTCTGTTGGTCAAGCAGAGGTGTCTGCTTTCTATGATAACCTGCTCCATGCCTTATGGGTGGGGAAGCAGCTGGAGGATAGAGGAGCAGAATGGATCTGTGGGGAGCAGCAGATAATGTGGATTGATACACCATGGATGTTGTCTTGAGTTTTCAGCACTGTGATCTTTCTTTCCCTGCCTGCTCTTTCAGAGGGGTGAATGGAGCTATCTCTCTTACTCTTTTCCTTCAAACTCATCTGATTGTCCTAGGGAAGCAAACTGTGGGTTAAGCAAACTCTTGGGTTATGTCCAAGTGGTCACAGTGTTGGCCAGAGGAAGGGAAGATATGGCAAATCACATGGGGAATAAGCTGGTTGGCCTGAGAGGGAATATGGACTTTTTATGCCTTCTCCAGATTATAAAGGAGGTGAGACTGGTCTTGAAATTTCTCCCTTCAGTGCTGTTCCTAGGAATGATGTGCAGTGCCTGGCAACTTGGGAATTTCCTCAGTTTCTATAGAACTTTGGTGAAAAGCCCTGTGAAAGAACTTACTGGAATGCAGTCGGTCTGACTAGCCTAAAATGGGCTAAGGGCTCTAGAAACTCGATAGGCTCTTAGAACCCAACCTTCTTCCTGGCTGCAATGTTGGGAGGCCATGCAGTGAAGTGGGAACTCACTGTGCTGAGGGCTCTCGTCCAGCTCCTGCCACTACATCCTATTGTCTCTTTGGACAAGTCACATTCCCTCTTTGGTCTTCAGGATCCTTGTTGTCCTAAAATGGGAGGTTGAACTGAGGAATCTGAGAGGTAATTTGGTAGAGCATGCTCATTTGGAAAAGAAGGGGGACTTGAACTTTCAGAGGGAGGCCCCATGGCTGACCTGATGGACTCACTGCCACACAGTCACTTGTGGCTCTTCTAATGAGCTAATTAATCTGCCTGTAAATACAGAGAGTATTCCTGGCTGATTGCCCCGGCTGGGACTGTGAGAGGGGCAGCAGCCAGAAGGATTGAGTCCAGAGGGAGGAATTCCAGCTTCTTCTTGGAAAAAGGAAGCAGCATGGGGGCCAGGGTTTGGGCAGGTTCACCTCCTGCACAGACACAGAGATGTAACAGGCCTCCCAGGAATCTGGGAGCTGGGTTGGACGTCTCCTGACACCAGGTGTTTGTTCCAGCTGAAGACTGTTAACCAAAGCGCTCGGGTTGGGGAGCAAGGGCCTGGGGTGCTTGTGACCGAGGCCCGTTGCCGAGCACCTCCCATTCCCTGGCTGCCTCTTAGGCGGCATGGGCCACCTAGACTGTTCTCTGGGCCACACCAAGGCTGCTTACTCCATTCTTGGTGGGCTTTGATCTTTCTCTCTGGATCTCAAGTGGCCACCCACTCTGTCGCCTGTTTTCCTCCAACTACCCATCCGTTTTTTAAAGTTGATTAAAAAACAAAAAATATTCTCCCATTTCACAGAGCCCTGTCTTGCCCTCCCTGAGGCTTCAGGTGACTCGCTGCCAGCTAAGTAGGAAATGGCTCCAATATGCATTCGTTTTTGGCCACCAAAGCAGCCTCACCTGCAGGGGAAGAATTGCCTTTGGAGCCGAGCCCTTCTCTGGGGCCTAGCGTTTCCTGAGGACTCTAGAAACCTGATAGAGCTCAAATCTGTCTAGACAGGGCACGGTATGCTGGAGTGGGGCTGGAGGCTGTACCCTGCTCCTCGCAGATCAGATTACTCAGGTAGCTCTCAAGCCCAGCAGCTCAGCTGGGAGGGAGGAGAAGGTTGGAGCCTCGGGGGTCTCCCAGCACCAGCACCAGCTGGAGGGGAAGGGCAGGTGAGACAAGAAGGGATACAGGGTAATGTGGGGAGTAAAGTGAGGGCTTTCATTGTCTACCCAGTGGCATGAGGACCTGACCTCAAGGTGCTGCTGTAAAGAGGAAAAGTGATAGCAATGGGAAAGTGGAAGGAAAGAGGGAGGGCACAGAGGGATTAGGCATATGGGGGGGCAAATAGAGGCAGGGAAGCCAGGAGAAGGCACCTGGAGAGCTCGTAAAGAGAAAACTGGGGTGGAGGGTATGAGGAGAGGCAAGAACTACTCTCACTCAGCAGGCCCCACCCTAAATCATCACTCGCACACTTTTCCCAAATGGCCCTCTCTTGATCTCTGATTCTGTCAAAGGCATCTCCTTCCTCCTCTTCATCCTACAAGCTTCGGACCTCAGCGGTCCCTGGGTACACCTCTACTTCCCAGTCTGACACCAAGACCTGTTGGTGCCTCTTCAGCACCATTTCTCTCTCCTGCCACTTCTTCTCCATCTTTGCTGCCAAAGCCTGTTGGGACCTGTTCTGCCTACAGAGCCCAGTGTCTCCCATCTTGGACACTGCCATGGTGGCTCCTTCCCTGAGTCATCAATGGCCCCCACTGTGTGATAGGTTTTGTTCCATGACTAATTTCTAATGTGAACTGTACCTACCTTGTGAGCCCTGGTGGCGTAGTGGTTAAGAGCTTGGGGGCTAACCGAAAAGGTCAGCAGTTTGAACCCACCAGCTGCTCCTTGGAAACCCAATGGGACAGTTCTACTCTGTCCTATAGGGTTGCTGTGAGTCAGAATCAACTCAACAGCAATGGGTTTGGTTTTTGTGTCCTCAAGCAGAAGTTGAACAATGTGGTCTGTGATGAAAGATGGGCAGAAGCAGGAGAGTCTTATGCAAGTTGATTATGATAATTCATACAGAGGTCTAGCTGAAGCATCTCCCTCCTACTTGCTTGGGAGCTCACCTCTGCATTTTCAGCACTGAGCTTCTTTTCCTCCTATGATGTCCTAATGCTCCTCCCAATACCAGTCCTCTGGAGCATTCTAAAACACTTTCCAAGAAACCCTGGTGGCACAATGGTTAAGTGCTTGGCTGCTAACCAGAAGGTTGGCAGTTTGAACCCACCCAGTGGCTCTGTGGGAGAAAAACCTGGTGATCTGCTCCCATAAAGATTACAGCCAAGAAATTCCAATGGGACAGTTCTACTATGTCACATGGGGTTACTATGAGTTGAAAATCGACTCAGTGGCACCTAAAAGCAATTAAAAACCACTTTCCATTGAGCAGTTGAAAGCTCGGTGGGGGTGAGAAATCTGCTTTTTAAAAGCCCCAGGACTAGCCATCCTTCCCCTTCCCACCACAGGGCTTAAAGACTAAACTTGAGGCTTGGGGTTTGAGGCTCCTTTCTGGATGTTAAAAGTGGACAGAGGGGAGGCAAGGTGTCCTTCCTGCACCCCTGTCCCCTCTTCTCACCTGGCTGCACCATCACTGGCGCCCAGCAGGCTGTACTGTGAGACTGCTGATGGACCTCTCCCAGCCCAAGGGCCTCTCTACCCTGGATCTTACCTTTGCTCTGGAAACCTTTGAGCCTGCAGACCTAATCTGTGTGCCTGTGTGTGCGTGTGTTTAAGAGTTGTCTGAAAAGTTTGCCAGGGAGGTAATCACTAGGGTCCTGGGTGGGTGAGTGCAGCCCAGCTCACAGAAGATTCTTCTGGAAACCTCCAGGCAGTGGCTTTTGTACCAAGAGAGAAACAAAGTTTGTGACTAAGAAAATAGAGGGAAATGATGCCTGAGCTGGAGGGAAATGGCTCTTCTAGCCTCTTGACTCCTCTTAGGCATCAATAATAGGGTCCTCATAGCGAGAAGAGTAGATATCTGCCCTCTGGGCTCTGGTTTAACACCCCAAGACCCCAGGAGGGAAGCTGCTTTTATTTTCTGGGGGACCTTGGGGACCTGGGCCTTTTGATTTGTACAGGTCTGATCCAAAATTAGTCAGGACCATAGCTTATCTTTTCCCTAAAATTAATATCTGCTCACAGGCCAGTTTTTTTAGCTTGTAGGTTTTGATATAGATGAGATAAAACAATAGTCTCTAAACATCATCTGAGTTTGATTTAGCTTCTGACTAAACATTGCTGAAGCTGATGTACAAAAATCATTGCATTTTCTAAGCGTCTGCCACTGCCTGCCCATGGTAGAATGAGGAAGAGAGGGGTGCAGAAGTCTGCTAGGGCTGGGAGATTGCAACCTGCTGACCTTGGATAATCTGCCAAGGGGATAACACAGGCAGCATTCACTACACCAAATCAGGATTACAGTCTGGAGAGGGGCAAATGGCCTATCTTCATTCCTTCTCTTTCAAGGATGCCCCTCTGCACAAGTGAAGCTTCTTGCACTTACATCAGGCCTAGGCATGAAGCCCATCCATGTGGCAGTCCTGGGATTCTCTTGAAGCCTGGAAAATGGAACAGCTTCCACAATTATCTTAGAGTGATGTCAGGGGCATTATATCATCTAAAGAGCCTTTGGTTATTCATCTGTGGCTTCTTTTCCTGGTGGACAGCTGGGGTAACACTGTGTCCCTACCTTGCAACACATCTCTACCATCTTAGAATCCCAGTCCTCTCAAGTCTCACCGGTTGAGAACCTGGTATCACAGGAATTTGCTTTCCCTCCTCCTACCTCAAGATAGGGGGTAATGGTGGTTCAGTGGTAGAATTCTTGCCTTCCACGTGAGAGACCCGAGTCTGATTCCTCACCAATGCTCCTCATGCACAGCCACCACCCATCTGATAGTGGAAGTTTGCATGTTGCTATGATGCTAAACAGGTTTTAGCAGAGTTTCCAGACTAAGACAGGTTAGGAAGAAAGGCCTGGCAATATACTTCTGAAAATCAGTTAATGAAAACCTTATGGATCACAATGGTCTGATCCAAAACTGATTATGGGGATGACGGTGGACCGGGCAGTATTTCCTTCCATTGTGCATGGGATTGCCATGAGTCGGGGGCTGACTGGAAGGCAGCTAACAGCAACAACAATGGCCCGAAACAGAGGCCATTGTCCTTGCCAGTGTTCTCCAGGACTGCCACCAGCAAGCTGTGTGATTTGATCCTTCTCTCCCTGTCTCTGGGCCCCACTTCTATCCTCCTGAAATGTGACCCATCCAAATCCCTCCAAGGGGGAGGTAGAGGGGGCCACATTCTTTCTTAGGAGGCTTCTCAGCAGGCCAGGCTCGGGAAGGACTGGCCACAGCTGGTTTGGGGGAGGAAAGGGAGAGAGAGAAATGTTGATCAACCCATGATTAATTATTTCCTGAGTCCTACTGCTCCCCTTGATCCTTCCCTGGGATTTATAAAGGTAATTCAGCCCAATGCAGTAAACATTTATGAACAATAACAATGAACAAGTCTCTGTGCTCGGCAACATGGGGAGGCTCAAAAATGACTTTGTGCCATTAAGGATCTAGCGGTTAAGCAGAGAGACGGACATGTACAAGGCAGGAGGAAGTGAGGGCTGTAAGAACTATAATGTAAGTACAAGCACAATCGTAGGAGACAGCAGATGAGGAGCGACTGCTATTAGCAGAATAAGAGAAGACTTCATGGAAGAGGTGGCACTGGAATTGGAAACATTGCTTTCTGAAGGACAGAGGTTAAATGTCCTGAATGTGTCTTCATCTCCAGTCTGGACCGCCTTGTATATGGATTTATTGCTTAGCCTGTTATGGATGGCTGAAAATCACATTCATTCAGTCAGATCCTTCCTCACTACTGATTGGAGTGGTTAGATCAAGAACTAGATTTGCAGACCTCATCTGTAAGGATTACTGTGCCAACGTGGCCTGTGTCCCTTGCTCTGCTCTGTAAGTTAGCCGGGAATCCAAGGCTAGAAAGAAGTGAGGCTGGATCTAAGAGAGGAAGCTGAGTAGAGATGAAGTTGGGACCAGCACCTTGGTATTTGCACAGGTCTCAGCATTTGAAGTACTGGATTTAGCTGGGAAACATTTTGCAAGCTAGAAGGAAAGAATATCTCATGGGCCTGAAGAATGTTTTTCTTGTATCTCTGAAGGTATGAGAGTAGAGTAGACAGAGGAAAACAGGCAGTTGCTGGTTGAGGCAGAGCAGAAAGGAGGATGATAATGCTTCGTGCTGTTATATTCTGGTCTGTTTAATAGATTATGAAATAAGTCCAAAACCAATACCAAACCCTCTGCCACCGAGTAGATTTCCAAATTATCGTGACCCTATAGGCCAGAGTCTAACTGCCTCATAGGGTTTTCAAGGCTATAAACCTTTTGAGTGCAGATTGCCACATCTTTCTCCCATGGAGCAGCTGGTGGATTCAAACCACAGACCTGCTGGTTAGCAGCTGAATGAGCGCTTTAACCACTTTACCATCAGGCCTCCAATTGAAATAAGTCAGGCTGCTAATTAAATCTAGCTGTAAAAAAGCTCTATCCTAGTCTTCTTTTGTCCTCTCCCTCTACTGAGTGCCACTCCAATCCAGTTTGTAACTTCCAGAGAAGTTGCTGGTCTTTTGATTGACTCATGATAATAGGGGTTGAAGTATGAGACTCTCAGCTCTGGATCAAGACTGCAGCCAAAGACTGTCTCAGTCTCCTGAGGGTAGACTCCCACATCTCATGGTACTCATCAGTACCATTTGGCGGAGACTACAGGAAGGAAGTTTGATCAAATACAGCCACCATCCATTGTTGTTGTTTGGGGCCATCAAATTGGTTCCAACTCATAGTGACCTTATGTACAACAGAAGGAAACACTGCCCAGTCCTGTGCCATCCTCACAATCGTTGTTATGCTTGAGCCCATTGTTGCAGCCACTGTGTCAGTCCATCTCATTGAGGGTCTTCCTCTTTTTCGATGACCCTCTACATTACCAGGCATGATGTCTTTCTCTAGGTA